GGTTCATACGGGTCATTTCTGGATAGTTTCATATTATATATACAAAAAAAGAAACAACAACACTGCTTCATATTAAGCAGGATTTACACCAGTATCACATTTTTAACTTTTAACACTTTTGGTTTTATTAAAGGAAATATCAGATTTTCTCAGGTGACAAAACAAAATGTGACAGCTCTGTAAAGGTTCACCAGAGAGCATAACATAAAGTTAACATGACTATAACAGCTGAATGCAGCGATTTCCATGTTGCTCAGCAAAACGCTTCACAACTTTATTTAGATCCAATGCCTTTGTGCGTTTTGATTTGAGTAAAACCAAACTTGATCGTCTCTTTTCTGTCATAGTTGACAGCAAATATGTCTTTCTGAGCCTGAGACGTCAGGCCTAACTAACATCATAGATAGAGAAATAACGTTTTGCAACCTGATTTTTATCATCTCAAAATCAGCATTGCAGCTATGCTAGCAACATTGTGCTTTCATTATGATTTCATTTCTCGATAGATAGTTAATCAGTTTTTACCTGTTTCATCCTGTGTCTCCTCTCCCCATGACCCCTGGCTCCTTCGCTTTGCCCCATTCGGTTTTCAAAACAATCAGTCTAGAGTCGCTCTCGCGTCATCTCGTGCTGCATTCACTGCAGTCCGACATTGGAAATTAGCGGTCGTAATTCTCAAATGATCCATAATTTATAAGCCTCGCCACCCCTACCGCCAACTGGGGTGGCAGCAGGGGTGGCAAGGCTGTCATTTAGGGTGGCATTTGCCACCCTATGCCACCCCAGTAGATCCGCCTATGCATGTGGCAAATACAGTCAGTTCAATTTGAGTTCCACACAGTATCAATGTGGAAAGGCTCCTGTGGAAAATGTCCCACCAAAAGGAGGGACATTCAGTACAATTCTTCTCGCTGATTGTATTATATTCTTGATTTGTTTAGAACTAGCGGAGTTAACTGATTGAACTCCCACCATGGAGAAACTGTCAAACAAAGATCCACTCTTTTAAAATATATTTTGGTGTCAGTGTTGTTTTTGTCAACAAAATTTAAGACCAATTCTGACTCTTTTTTGCATGATGATAACGAAAACTGAAGTGCAAAACATGGATCTTTGATAAATAAAACATGACTAATCATAGGTTTGAGTTTAAGTCAACGAGACGAGACAAGACTAAATAAAAATTAGCGGGCTGTCGGCGTAGACATTTAAAATGGATCACTGTGCTGTAATCAGCTAAGCAGCATCAGCCATTCTGCTGCATCCTGTTTGATCCTGCCGCCCACCTGCCGCTCAGTGTTGCACTTGCTGCAGGGTCTGAGAAAATAACCCGGATCAGTCCGGTACTGTGCGCTCAACTCTGGCAAACTCTGCCCCGATCTTCCATCTATGCTTGTGCAGAAATGCATCTTTGCGCTGAGAGCTTCTAGTCTGCACTTCACGCTCCACACTGATGGTTCGCTCTCAGCAATATGGCTCTTCCTGCCCTCGCTACTTAATAAATTATATGGGGCTGATCATCCTCTGCCAAGCGTAAAAAATCTCCTTATCTAACTATCAATATTTTAGTTCTTCCAGCTCACAAGAGGTGATACTAAAATTTAATTTCTATCAAACGGAATCACAAAAGTATATCCAAATAAAATATTTCATTGCATTCTGTTTATTTTTGGACAAAGAGCCTGATGAAAAAGTATCTTTTAATATTTCTCTTATTGTTCTTGTTCATATCTATTTAATGATGATGTTTCTGTGTATTGTCATTAAAGTATTTTCTATGTTTCCCATGAATATGCCAACATTTTTGTTAGCATTTTTATTTAATTTAGGTCTGATTGCCATGGCAGTACAAGGCAATTATGTAGGTTCTCTCTGTATTTTGTTTGTTAGTACCATGGAAAAATAAATGGATGATATTTTGTCAAAGCATTTGTCCTTTGCCTGATTGCTTGGTCCTAGACAGCACGGTAGAGACATAAAAAAATAAAATCCAAAAATTAGAAAAACATGATTTCTCTTTTAACACAGCAGTCTGTAGGAACAAAATGTAAATCATTACAAAACCCAGCAGGTTTGTCAAGATTCATGTTTCTCCAAATGTTTGGCAGTTTATATTGGCTCAGGAAAAAAAAATCCCAGTGGAGAGGTATTTGTTTTTAATCCTTTAAAAATTCACTAAAACAACTATGGATGTAAAATCCACACATTTAATGGACCCACTTTTCTCTTTAGCATAAAATTAAGCTAAATTCACAGCACATTATATAAACAAAAAACTTGGATTTAAGAAGGCTTTTGTGCCTAACATAACGTGTCCCAGCTAGGTTTGAAAATCAGTGCGATTTGCTAATAATTAAGGGGTAGTTTTTCTTTTTTGTTTTTTGTGTTTCTTCAACTATCTATTTTTTATATCTAAGGTAGCCTATTGGAATTTAAGAATTGAAAACGTTCAGACTTTCCCATTTGCCATTCTAACTTCCCTCATTGTTTTATAATAGATTTTATTTTAAAGGCACCTTTCTGGGTACTCAAGGTCATCGTACAAAAGATAAAAAAAACAATGGGAGAAACTAAGTCAAAACAGAATAAAACCATTTAAAAAAATACAAAGTCTGGGACAGGGAGATTAATATTAAAGAAAATAGACAATTTTAAACAGATGAGTTTTGATTTTAAATGGAGAAGAGAGTCCGTGTTTCTAAGTAAGGGTGGTAAAAACTTGCCTAAAACATTTATAACTTGAACTTTAATTTAATTTACCAAACATGTCAAAAAAAAAAAAAATCTAATCCTTTTTCTGGACAAAGCATTAAAAGCTCTGTTCATTCCTAGATAAATATAAAACTAACTATTTTGAAAGGTTCGGGAACCACTGATACTAAATATGTGTGTTTATCTTGCCCATGATTCCTGCTGTAAAAGCTATCCCTCCAGAAAAGCCTCCTGCTTGTAACCCGTTATAAAAATCCCAGTTGGTTCAGGTGCTTTAACAGCTAATGATTTCAAATAAAAGATAAATAAACATAACAAAAGCTAATACAAAATAAATAGCAGTTAAGAATTACAAACAATAAAACCACAAAAGCCAAGATTTCAAACATGATTAAAAGCCACAAAGAAAAGAAAATAGCTGCACTTGTTTTTCACTAAAACCAGTTATAAGACAGGAAGCAGCATTTTGGATGGACTTTAGTCGGGCCACGAATGTTTTGTTGAGCCCAGAGTAAAGAGAGCTGTAGTAATCTAAATGAGTGGTAATAAAACCGTGTAACAGGATAGTTTAACTTTGGCCGACTGACTCAGTTTGATCCGACCACTGATTAAATCTGACCGAGGTAAGATCATGGTCTAGTTTACATCCTGTACCAGTCTGTGTCAGATCCTGACTCAAAGGACTCGGCTCTAAACGAATTAACATGATTGGCCAGAACATCACCACCTCAATACTTTAATGGCTTCATAGTTTAAAAAAATATATATATATCTATGACTTGATTTTCCAATTTACATAATCAGTTGGTTCACTGTTTTCTTTTTTAGTGCATTAAAACATCCTCTGTTGCCATAATTACCTGGAAGGATACTTTCCAATTTTAGCAAAACTGTTGTTCATTCATGCAGTAAAAGTGATAAATTAGCATAAGGGTCGTTATGTTCACCTCAAAAGCGTCACATCTATTGAATAAGACAGAATCATGAGTCGGTACTTAAATGTACATTTCTAGCCAAACTAAAAAGAAACAAAAAGTTATATTTGTTTTCACATGTAGCAAATAAATCTGGTGTTACATGAAGTCATCTGCAAAATCTGTTTGATCCTTCTGATGGCAGACAAAAGGAAACATGGCGACGAAAACACAGCCTCATCTACGTCGGCCTCCTCCGGCTCCACACGTCTTTTACCGAGACAGAAATAAAACGAGACTAAGAGCCCTTTACAGTCTACTACTGACAGTAAACAGATCACATGGCCTGGCATCACACCAGACCTGGTGCCTCATTTATTCAAGGATCTTCTCAGGCCAAAAACCACAATCTAAGCCAATGTGGCCTCTGCTGAAGCCAAATGAAGCTTATCTCACAGTGTTCTATATTATATATCATGAGCTCAAAGTCCTAAAACTTGTTTCATATTGTATAAGGTCTGTTTCTATTTTATTTAATATGCATTTATTTTATTATGTTAATACATTTAAACCCTAGAAACAGTTTCCATTATATAAGGAATAGCTAAAACAGATCCAAAAACTGCCATGCTTTAAATCCTTTCCAGCGTTTTCTGTTCTTTAAACCCGTTAAAAAACAGCCTCCTTACTAATGATAAACAAAATCTGGAGTCTAGAGCTTATTTCTCCTGATAACTAACACTCTCCTGTCTTGTCAAGCTTCTGCTTTTTAGTTAGAACGCAGCCCTGACCCCTGGAGGGACATGCCTTCCCAAGCTGTTTTAGCTCTGGACATAAAATAAGAAAATTCAAGTTCAAGATTTGTTTTGCTGTTTTGGAGCCAGCACAGATGGAAACAGCAAGACACAGGATAGAATAATAATGTGCTAGAGCTTCGAAATGTTCCTCTTTTCAATACTAATGTTACCAGAGTGATGCATCAAGTAGAGAGGGGTGAATAATCGCTGCTGCTGGCTGATATATAGGACGCATTCACAGACACTTATTACAGACACTTATTATTCATTCTTGTGAAATGATTATCCACCTCGTGGACCCCCAAGAGGGCAATAGAGTTTCCACTCAAGGATTTGTTGTGAAGTTGTGGAAATGACACAGCAGGGGGGTTAGTGGTTGCTGAAACCTTTCCATAACCCTGGAATAAATCAGAATCAGTGCTCCCGACAGCCACTTTTCAGCCAAACTGTCCTTGAGCAAATCACTGCTCTGGGAAACAAAAGAGCTTAATAGTGGAATTTAAATTTTTATTATTATCTAGACATACGGCTAGTATGGAATGTCAGCGGTGATGCAGAGGAAATTTATACAACATACCTGAAACAAGTGCCGTTCTTCCCTCCGGCTCTGACACAGGGATACTCCACAGTCAAGATTTTATTATCCGGACACTCCATCCTAAAGAACGACGTACAGAAGGGGAGAAGAACGGGAATGATTGACCCCCAGTGTTTTATAGCGGTGCTAAAAGATACATCCTTGTAAACAGTGAGCAGAGGTTAGGAGAAAGCTGAGCACCCAAGGTCCAGGAGAGGCTCACGTTTTTTTTCACCTTTGTAGTTTGAACTGTGAACTCTCGACAGAGGGTTTTAAAACTGATTGATTATGATATCTTTAATTTTTTGAGATAATTTATTACACTGTTAATTTTGGTGCTTTCATTTAGACATAGTGAATACAGATTTGGAGTTCGGCAGCTGCCAGATGGTGACACAAATTTGTCCTTATTCTGTCATTAAAAAGACCAAACAATGAATTTATTTTGTAACAGACAATGTCACAATACGGTTACCTGAAATCCACCACTCCTCTAAAATTGTGTGGAACTGTTTCTGTGCATTCATGCCAACTTTTGTCACTTTAAATGGGAAAACAGCCTGAAAAAGTAAACCAACTATGATTGGCTTCTTTACAGGAAGCAGTACTGTTTTCTTCCTAGTTGGGGCTATTAACGTTAGCAAATGCTTTCATTCATTTTTAAATATTTACTAACTTTTAAACAAGAAAAATCAAGAGTAAACTCCAAAAATGTGCCTCTCCTATATCCTAAGATTGATAAAATTAATCAATCGATAGTATTTATTTGTGCCATCTGGTCATTCGGTATTCTCTGTCTTCTCTCCTCTCCATCTTCTTTTATTTCTAGCTTCTCCTGTCTGCTCTCTGTTTAACGCTTCTAAGTAGATTTCTCTTCCTTCTCTTCAACTGATCTTTCTATCAGTGTCCCTATTTTCCTCCGCTCTCATTCAATCTTCTTTTTATTAATCTCCTAATCTTCTTCCTCTCCTCTCCATCTTCTTTTCTTGGTAGCTGACTGACTTCTACCTCTTTTCAGTTTTACTCTTCAAAGTAGATTTTTCTTCTTTCTCACTAATTTAGCAATCGATTAATCGTTAAATTAAGTATAGAGACACTAAAACATGCCTTTAGCTGACAGAGCAACCAACCCTTAAGCAATAATTATGCCAAGATTGAAAAACTATATATATAAACATTTTGCATTTAAGATAAAAAAAAAAGCTTTTCTTTCTCTCAAAATGCTCTATCCAGCACTCCCTGAGTGGAAAGGTTTTAGGTTCACCTGGTTTAATTTCGTATAAAGTCTTCTTTAAGGAAAACTTTAACTATCCGATTATTAATCAATTAATCGAAAAACAATTAGTTAGTTGCAGTCATAGATCTTTCCATGAGTGTTCCTATTTTCCTCCCCTCTCATTCAATCTTCTTTCTACCAGCCTTCTAATCTTCTTCCTCTCCTCTCCATCTTCTTTTCTTGGTAGCTGACTGACTTCTACCTCTTTTCAGTTTTACTCTTCAAAGTAGATTTTTCTTCTTTCTCACTAATTTAGCAATCGATTAATCGTTAAATTAAGTATAGAGACACTAAAACATGCCTTTAGCTGACAGAGCAACCAACCCTTAAGCAATAATTATGCCAAGATTGAAAAACTATATATATAAACATTTTGCATTTAAGATAAAAAAAAAGCTTTTCTTTCTCTCAAAATGCTCTATCCAGCACTCCCTGAGTGGAAAGGTTTTAGGTTCACCTGGTTTAATTTCGTATAAAGTCTTCTTTAAGGAAAACTTTAACTATCCGATTATTAATCAATTAATCGAAAAACAATTAGTTAGTTGCAGTCATAGATCTTTCCATGAGTGTTCCTATTTTCCTCCCCTCTCATTCAATCTTCTTTCTACCAGCCTTCTAATCTTCTTCCTCTCCTCTTCTATCAATCTTACACTAATCTAATATATATATATATATATATATATATATATATATATATATATACCTATATATATATATATATAACTTTTCAACTTTTTTTTACAAATTTTTTTATTTCAAGTTTTAATCTTTTCAATGTTTGGTTTACAGATATACTTTTTTTTCAAATGTCTGTTTTTTAGATTGAGTTTTAACATTATTTACAAATTGTATTTTACAGATCACTTTGGGTGCCTTCGATTTCACAGCCTGCATCCTCCAAGAACCTGGTCTATCTGGACTGGATTCTTCGACGTCAGGGAAAATAACGAGGGAGGAAGAGTTTTGGCTGTGAATTGAAACAGGTTCTAATGCCCCCGGCAGAGCACATGACCCGCCCCCAAAAAACAATGCCAGGGTGTCATTGGTCAGACTCGCTGTTTTTTACAAGATGGACATATAAGCGGGAATCTTTCAAGATGGATTTGTTGTGAGACTGAAAACTCAGATCTCGTGACCATCCAGCTTGCAGCGCAAGATTAAACAGGTCCAGCCTTCTCCGGCTTTCACTGCCCATACCCTCTGTCGCATAGAAACCATAAAAATTGACACACAAAGCAGGCGAAAAATGGATGCCAGACTTCTGAGTACATTTCTGGGCGCTAACAACATTTTCAAGAAGTTTCAGCAGTAGTACCGTTGTGACGTATATCATATTTAGAGTTCACACACTGCCAAGATACACTATATTGCCAAAAGTATTTGCTCACCCATCCAAATTATTGGAATCAGGTGTTCCAATCACTTCCATGGCCACAGGTGTATAAATTCAAGCACCTAGGCATGCAGACTGTTTTTACAAACATTTGTGAAAGAATGGGTCGCTCTCAGGAGCTCAGTGAATTCCAGTGTGGAACTGTGATAGGATGCCACCTGTGCAACAAATCCAGTCGTGAAATTTCCTCGTCCTAAATATTCCACAGTCAACTGTCAGCTGTATTATAAGAAAATGGAAGTGTTTGGGAACGACAGCAACTCAGCCACGAAGTGGTAGGCCACGTAAACTGACGGAGCGGGGTCAGCGGATGCTGACGCGCATAGTGCGAAGAGGTCGCCAACTTTCTGCAGAGTCAATCACTACAGACCTCCAAACTTCATGTGGCCTTCAGATTAGCTCAAGAACAGTGCGCAGAGAGCTTCATGGAATGGGTTTCCATGGTCGAGCAGCTGCATCCAAGCCATACATCACCAAGTGCAATGCAAAGCGTCGGATGCGGTGGTGTAAAGCACGCCGCCACTGGACTCTAGAGCAGTGGAGACGCGTTCTCTGGAGTGACGAATCGCGCTTCTCCATCTGGCAATCTGATGGACGGGTCTGGGTTTGGCGGTTGCCAGGAGAACGGTACTTGTCTGACTGCATTGTGCCAAGTGTAAAGTTTGGTGGAGGGGGGATTATGGTGTGGGGTTGTTTTTCAGGAGCTGGGCTTGGCCCCTTAGTTCCAGTGAAAGGAACTCTGAATGCTTCAGCATACCAAGACATTTTGGACAATTCCATGCTCCCAACTTTGTGGGAACAGTTTGGAGCTGGCCCCTTCCTCTTCCAACATGACTGTGAACCAGTGCACAAAGCAAGGTCCATAAAGACATGGATGACAGAGTCTGGTGTGGATGAACTTGACTGGCCTGCACAGAGTCCTGACCTCAACCCGATAGAACACCTTTGGGATGAATTAGAGCGGAGACTGAGAGCCAGGCCTTCTCGTCCAACATCAGTGTGCGACCTCACAAATGCGCTTCTGGAAGAATGGTCAAAAATTCCCATAAACACACTCCTAAACCTTGTGGACAGCCTTCCCAGAAGAGTTGAAGCTGTTCTAGCTGCAAAGGGTGGACCGACGTCATATTGAACCCTATGGATTAGGAACGGGATGTCACTTAAGCTCATATGTGAGTCAAGGCAGGTGAGCAAATACTTTTGGCAATATAGTGTATAGGAGATACGCCAATATTCACCACTATTCGGTGGCATTTACCTTTGTCCTCTGATTACCGAGCAGCTGGTTTGCTTGGACTCGCAATGAATCATGGGATACCCAAGGCTACCTAGGATACTGTACATCAGACCCATCCTTCAAAACGCAAAAAAAGAAGGCTGCATTTCTTGGCCGAATAACAAGGAATCATCCAATCGGATCAGGCCTCCACGGCGCGCTATAACGTTATCGGCTGACTAATCTGGCCTTCGTGGACGCAGCCCCTGAATTTGAACTCAGCAACTATGTAGTTGCGTTTGACATGAGCTAGACCTGCACAGATCTGGTCAGTGTTGGTCTGTGCGTGGTGAACAGCGGTTGGATCTCTGTCCAACTTAATCCCGTCTGTGTCTGATGTCTGAAGAACGTGAACAACTAAAACTGATGCAGGCGTCACAGCTAATCATAAGCATCTGCGGCAGCTGCACTGCAGAGTGCATGATGGGAAAACGCCCTCCTATCTCAGGTGAACAGATAGTTGATTGGATCTAACTTTTAACACTTCAACATTCCCCAACCCTTCAATTTGTCTTTTTTTTTCAATATATGTATGTATGTAACACAAAATTGTACAAGAAATCAATGGTATATATATATTTTTTTCAAGTATTTGTTCATAATAAGCTTAACAGGCTTTTTTGTAGATCAATATTAGGCCACGCTTGACCGACTGATTAATACTTTTGTGTTGTAAAATCTTATCATATTAACAGGGTTATTGCTGATTGTGGGTAGGAATATTATTAATAAATAGATAAATAATATGAAATTATTTATAACAAAACCGACTGTGAGACACTTCATCGATACAGTATGGAAGGTTCAAAGGAAAGTTAATTTTATAATTGTTTCATTACATATTTTTCATCAATAAGTTGCATAACGCAACTGAAATTCATAATCTTAACCCTGCCCATCAGAACATCCTAAGCTCTCGTCCACATTCCGGACAAAGCTCTGTTCACCTGGAACACACCTAGCCACTTTAACTGAAGCCCAATTCAAACACTTGCTCTTGACGTGCTAATTGACCAATAAAAATTTAGCTGCAAATGGCCATGCTGATCATTAGAAATGCTTATTTTAAAGGTAACCCCAGAAGACAGTAAAAATGTGATCTGTAAAATACATTTAGAAAAAAAATGCAATTTATATAACGAAATCTGACAAACAGAAATTTGAGGAAACAAAGCGAAAAAAATATAAAATCTTTAAAAAAAAAAAATGGGAGCAAATTTGAAAACGTAAAATGAAAAAATAAGTTAAAAGATGTGTTGGAAAAATTAATTGAGAAAACAGCAAAGTGACAAATAAAAACCTTTTTCTTTTATTTCAGTTTACAAAACGTACTCCTTTTTTGTAACAATAGTGGAGCAAATTTCACGCCATACTAAAAGCAGAGGACTCTGTTCTATCATGTATTCTATCATGTCGGCAATAGAATACATTATATCTTTGTGAAATTTTAAGGCTCAAAGTGATTTGGGTCTGGAAACAGATGCAAGCTTAAAGTTTCTTATTTGTGTTTGTGGGGAAAAAAAGCAAATTTCCTTTAATTCCCACCAGATTTCTGTCAGTAAGGCATTAGTGATTTAATCTGATGTTTCGCGCGTTGCATCTGACTGACATGCACCTCCTCACCTCCTGACCTGCTCTCACCGGGCACCTGAATAACATCCGTCATGTTATGTCTAAGCAGAGGCAACATTTGGCTGCCTGCTCGGCGGTTCCAGCTCTCTGCGTCTCTCTGGAAATCAGATGCGCCGCAGTGGTTCTTCCAAGGAATTCCACTTTTGACAGCTTGCTCGCACAAACCAATAAAACCCACAGTCTAAACTGTATTACAGAACTGTATCTCTGCGCACTAGACACACTGTTGAAAACTGGTTTTGAATTTAGATTTAATAAAGTTAAGGCTGTTCAACGCTGCCAGATTTTAATGTCATTAACCAGAAACATGTGATATCAAAGTAGAAATATAATAATAATAAAAAAAGAAAACAAAAACTTGTCGCTCTTTTACCTTGATGTATCCACGGAAATCGTCGTCCTGATGGAGCTGGCACCAGATTCCCACAAGAAAACAGCACAGATGGCCCCAAACGGTAAAAGAGTCACTCCATTAATCTGAGCCATGTCCCTCGTGGCGCTCCGGACAGATGACCTGATAAAGTAACTCTTCACATCCGACAGACGTCACTCCTTTCATGTGTCAAGGACCTAAGTTATTGAAAATGTCGTAGTCAAGTGTCCCGCAGAGGTGACGCGCTCAGAGGCTGCGGGATGAGTGAGCCGCGCGCCCGGACCCCGCTTCTTAACTTTACGCAGTGAGACAGACCCTTTGGAGAGCTGCTGAGGGCTCCACAGCCCATTGCCCTCCAACTAATCCCTCTAGATTTACATTCCTGCCTCCAAAGAAGAGACAAGAGGGAGCTGAGTAAACAGTCTGACTACGTAACGGCGCTGGCGACACATGCCAAGATGTTATGATCTCATTTCACACACATGCACACAAAGAAAGGGGGGAATCCTAAATAGTATCTATGGAAATATTATCTAAAAGTGGTTTATTAAAGTATACTAAAAGTGCACTAATTTCACACTTAGAGTACACTTAGAGTTTACTTATTCTAAACTACATTTTATATACTTAACAATAGTATAGACAAGTGTACTTGACTATATTATTGTTTACTTTATTGTTAACTAAAGCTTAAAAATGTCCCAATTTAGTTTGAAGATTTTAGTAATACTTCAAGTACACTAAAATTACATTGTTCGTATACTTTCTAAAGTTATACTTAAGTATTCTTAATAGAATTTACTTCAAGTATACTACTTTTTGCTAAGGGGAGGAACGTAGATAAAGGACTGCTTTCGCATTAATAAAATATTCTACATCCAACATATAGGCTATTCAAAAAAAGATGTAAAAAGATAATATGATTGAAAACAAATAAAATGTAAAAGATACTAAAGTAAAATCCAAAGACCAAATAATATCATTAACATAATTAATAATTCCTTATTTTCCAACATTTTTTAAAGTTTCCTCAAATGGTCTTACAAATCCAAAACTATTATAGCCGATAAATATGCAATTTCTCCATTAGAATCAATGAAAAAATAATAATAACCTAAGGAAATAGATATGTAATATTAGTTTATATGGAGTGAATTTTGTTCCATTATTTGTACAAGCATTTTTGTAAATGGTCTGAGACGCAAATTACATTACCTTTGGTCTGCAAGGATGTGTTAGGATTACTTTTGGTTATTCTTGTATGTGCTTGTTCAACTCTAATATTACCTGCCTGTTAAAGGGGAACACTGTTTTTTTTTTTTACATTTGGCCCTTGATTTTATGTTATTACATCATGTTCTAATCACCCATATGATTTTTGTGTCATTTGGAGCCGTTCTGAAGATATTTGGTTAGGTTATATCCAAGTAACGTCTTCCTATGGGCAAAGACTTGAAGATACAAACTAAACTGTTCAAAATTATCATTTATGGTACGCCAGCATACAGAACATGTAGGGGAATCACTGTCCCCCAGACATTTGTTGTTATATTTTTTATAGTTCTATTTTTTAAAAACAAAGCGGAGTGTGTATGAAGTCATCCGCCCGCGCCGGCTACTATTCATTCATCCTGTCCGCTGAACTGCTGCTAGTTTTACTCACATCCCTGGAAGATGTCTAGTGCTACTACCACAAATGATCCCTCAAAATGGAATTAAACGATTCAGATTAGCTAGCCGAATGAATAGAAGGAGTAGAGCGTAGCTGCATGTTGCCCAGGCTGCCTGTAACTTCTCCAGTGCGGTGCGGTGATGACGTCATACACGTGCTGCTTTTTTCAAAATTAAACTTTTGCTACTTAACGCGCCACATCAGCCAATGAGAGAAGCTGATCTGGGAGCTGGCAGGGAGTCAGACACAGCGCTGCTGATGCAGAGAACTATGATCACACCTCTGATCACATTTAACGCCTTAAATTAATTTAAAATGTTGAAACCTACCGGCAAAATATGTTCGCTTTTAATATCCTTGCGCCTGCAGTTTGGATTACGTACATGAAAATCGCCTTCCAGCCGTCGCGGAAAGCAGCGGAAAACCCAGAAGAAGAAACCATGCCAGAGTCTGCTGTTGAAGGGGATTCCAATCAACAGAGCACCGCCAGTGTACGGGGGTCTGAGCGGCTCCAACAGTGAAATAATATTTGACGGTAGGTTAATCATGATGAACTGACTGCACAGATAAAGTTTTCAGCTGGATTTTCTCATTTAAAAACATTTTACCCACTTATAACAGCAAATATAGCAAAGCTACTCTCTGCAGCAGAAGCATCAGACTTATCTTCTTTTCTTCTCATACACTTCGTAGACACTTTTTCTCTTACGGGCCTCTGCCTTTTTCAACTGAGATGAGAAAGGTGAGCTGCAAAGACTGTCTGAAACTGTAGCTTACCGCAGATATACACTTATTTTTATTTTTTATTTAACCTTTATTTTACCAGGAAGTCCCTTGAGATAAAATCTCTTTTTCGAGGGAGACCCGGCACCTACAAGGGCGCATGCACAGAAAATGACAGCTAACGGAACAAGCACATAGGGAAGCTGTAAACATATCCCCACAATGATTGACATTTAGGAGGACCACTTATTTAAATGATCCACCCGAAAAAAAAAAAAAGATTGTCCTGTATACCTTTAATATGTTTTTATATGCTCAACTTACTCTAAAAGTAAAGTTGCACCAGTAACATTAAAGCTATTGAATCAGTGATGGGGATCAAATCTCAATGAAACCTTATTTTATAAAATAGCTGTTTTTACTCCATCGCTGGTTCAGTGCTTCAGTAAAATATATATTTAAGTGTTGAACCTGTGATGGAGTAAAAACTATTTTCTAAAATGAGATTTCAGTTGACGAGTCAGTTAATCTTATTTAAGGTTGAGATTTTTACTACAAGAGGAGATATATTTAATCATATTTTGTTCTGGCAGTACTAAGATGGAGACTGCTTTCTCTCAATGTTACCTCCTGCTTTTAAAAGTAAAGTTGGAAAGAAGCGAGGTGTTGTCTTAAAAAGTTATAAAATTGAACCTGCTCCTTGTGTCAGCACGGATTCTTACCGTACATGGTGCATGGTGATGTGAAATCAGATTATCTGATGTGTTCCCAAACAGAACGTGTAGCATAGCTCTCTCTGAGGAACAGCATGCATTACATTACCAGCGTAAAGATGAAATCTCTCAATAAAGCGTTTTTTTTGTTTGTTTATTCTTCAAGGGTCACAGTCTTAATATTACAAGTTCGACGGTTATACAGAACATTTATTCACGCTTATCAGGGGGATAAAATGTTCTCGGTGTGGGGTGAAGGTGTCTGCTTGATAAAAGAAGAAATGGTTTGTTGAATAAATACAAAGCTTTAAGAAGAAATCTTTTCATGCATAATAATTATCCAGTCATTATTGCTGTTGTTGTAAGCAAACATGCAATTACAGCCTGATTGCTTGAGATGTAAGTTTGCCACAGGCTTTCGCCTCTTGACTGAGCCCAGTGCTATCTGATTAACCCAGTGCACTACATGTGGAGGGTAATAAATGTACTGCACAAAGTGTCTTTTAATCCCTGTTGAGAAGAATGTCTCTAGTTTGATACAGATGTCTCCATTATTACTGTAAAGCAACATTAATGAGGCCTAATCTAGTACTGTAAGTAAGAGGAGTAAATGAGAGACAAATCTTCTGAAACAGAAAATAAGGAAAAATAGTTAAATTTGCAATAAGACAGATTTAACAAGAAATTTGTTTTTACTACTATTCCTGACAACTAATTTGTAAAAAATCGCCCCTATGTGTTCTTCCTTGGTGCAGGCTGATATCACCAGTGGAAATAATAATTGTGTGAGAGAACTCTGACCGATTGTTCCCTCAGACAACAGCAGGGCACTCGCTGGACGCGGTTCTTACATGCTATTAAATAGAAACATCTGGCTTTATTCACAGCAAAATGAATAATGCTGGAAGTACACATGCGCCTGCATATGGTATACTGCACATCAAATTAAACAGTACAGACTCTTTGCTCTCCTCCTCCAAAAATGCCAGAATCAAATAAATTTATTAAATACATAAAGGAACATTATTAAAGAACCACAGCAGAAAGGCAGCTGTTGAAATTGAGGCCTCTGCCTCATTATTACGACCACACAGGGAGGTGATTTTCTCTCGTTCCCACAAAGGAGTCTCTTTTTACTTTGGTTTGTGGCTTTTCTGCAGTATCTACCTATAGGTATAGGCCGCAGGGAGAAAATGTGGTTTTAATAGAAAGCTGAGGAAACATTTGTCTATGTTGCCTATTTTTAAATGAATGTGTAGATGCTAATATGTGGAATAAAATGACAACAAAAATAAAAGATACAATTTTTTTTAAAGAAGTTTGTCCTATTAATTGTATTACAAAATATTGAAATCTAATCCAATCAGGTTTTTCTTTAAATAAATGTAATTTCACTTGATTTGAGTAAATAAGGGGGACAATGTGCCAATGAAATAACACAACTATGACACAATCATGTTTCATAAGGGCTAAAAACTAACTCCATTGGCAAATCATCTTATCTACCTGATTAAAATAAGGAAAAATGCACTTATTTTAATAAAATTATATTTTATTAATCACTTTTTGCAGTGAAGTCATTATAAGTAAACGTTCAAGGAGAGTCAATAATTTTACATCCATCCATCTTCTTCCAGAGTCAGAGTTGGATGGGACTGGTGCCTATCTCTGGCAGTCTATGGGCGAGAGGCGGGGTCCATCCTGGACAGGTCGCCAGTCAGGGAAATACAGAGACACACACGCCTACAACAATATAAGGGAAGCCAATTAACCTAAAAGTCTTTTTTTTTTTGGTCTGTGCCAGGAAGCCGGGGTACCCAGAGAAAACCTAGGGATGCAAAGGGAGAACATGCAAACTACATGCAGAAATAACTTTGGCCAGGAATGGAACCCATGACCTTCATGCTGAAAGGCAACAGTGCTACAACTTACTCCATGTTGCAGCCAATAGTTTTTTTTTTTTTACTTCTTCTTATTTGATAACACATTTACAGCCTAGATTATACAAGAACAAGGAACATTAAACATTCATTTTCAAAGGCATTTTCTACATTCTGTAATAATTGTTCAAAAAAAGAGAAAATTAAGTGAATTAATTTGCCTTTAATCTGACAAGGAAAATAAGATAGCCTGTCAATGGAATGAGTATATTTTCCCTTATAACAAATTAATTAACAAATATGCTTTAGAAAAAATTATAATGGTTAAGTTTATTTTCTTTGTAAACATTCTTACTCTACCTTGTAATTGTCTTACTTACCCGCTGAAATAAAGGAAAAATACTCTTATTG